TTGATTTTGAATTCTAGATGCAAACATAAAAGTATATGTATAACCAGCATCACAAAGAGAAAGGATCTTATAACCCTCTGGTATAGGTTTATTTTTGATTCTTACAGTATAAGCACTCCTTCCAGAAAATCTAGCTATCATTTCATCAATTGAAATGTTTAATGATAGAATACAAATTGACTTAGAAACTGTTCAGATATGTGTTGCTAATGGATCTAATTTGGAATACCAAAATGTAGGCGGAGTTGTACAGTCTGAAATATGCATAAACCGCTTAATCTAAATTTTATCAATAAATTGTTTAATTTAATTTAAATTTAATAAAAAAATATTAGGCATAAAAGTTAAGTTAATAATACCTGTTCAAAATGAAGTAATGTCATAAATTTTGTAATATTATGCTCAGAAAATCTATCATCTTTATTCTAATAGTCTCTAATACTAGGTAATTTAAAATGCCAGCATATATTAAGATTGCTAACCATTTACGCACTTCTCCTGCATTCTTTGAATAAGCATATGTATTGGTATTTTGAACTATTATTTTGATTTGTTCAAGAGAAAAAAAAAGACAAAAAATTGAATAAGGTGACGATAAATAAGTTTGATATTCTCTAAACGAATTTATTGTAAATTTATGTAAAGGTTTATCGTGTTGAAATACATTAAAAGAAGGTGGAGGTGGAAGTTCAATTGTATTTGATTATTTTGATTGTTACCATAACCACGACCACGACCACAGCTACGACCATGACCACAATTCCTGCTAGCTCTACCTCTACTACCTCTGCCCCTAACATTCTCTTCAATTTGAATTTCATCGATACTTTCATTATCTGACTCTAGTTCATTATTATTTAATGAACTATTTCGTGAAAATTCAACAAAATACAATTCTTCATCCTGTTCATTAGATGAAGCTTCTATGATAAAAATTATTAGTGGTAAATATGGGTGGTGTTTAAACGATAAAAAAAAAGAGAACGATAACGTAAAAATCCTAAAAATCGTAAAAGCCACAATCGTCATTTTGCAGATTAATTGCGGAGTTTTTTATTTTTTGATAATTGGTTAAATAATTAACCGAATTTAATGATCAGATATAGATCAATATGTTTACAAAATTTTAGTCAATCTGAACAATATTAGGAAATTTTTATGACAATCAATTTTCTTTTTTGTAAATTCTGGGCAAATTTGCTCACAAAACCGTTTAAGGGATAAAATTTTTATAATACATTTTAAATAATCTAAATTATTAAATTTAATAATTATTGCTATTTATTTGAACAACTATACAACTATAGCTTTATCTGAAGCTTAAAATCTAGACAATATAATGTGATAATTCATATATATGATCAGCAAATGATCGACATTGTGATATAAGCATGACCGCTATGCTATACAGATTATGTTTTATTCTTATTAATAATGAAGGAGATAGATGATTCATTTAAAAATGAACCAAACCTAAATAAAATAGATGATGATAACTATGAACTAATAAAAATAGTTTTTCTTGCTTTGTCTTCTAGTCATTATCTTATTTCTCGAACACATAATGTTGTTAAATCTAAATATTGGTGATATGAAATCTTATCTTATATGATAATATATGATATAAAAAAGTATTAAGAATGGAAAAACAACAATTTAATAGGCTAGTATAAATCTTACAGCATAATATAGTATTTTAAGATAAAGGAAATAAGCCAAAAGTATCTGTTGATTTTCAATTAGCAATATTTCTTTGATGACTTAATTCTAAAGATGATATTATGAGTATTTGTTCTCGATTTGAAGTATCAGAAGGTTTTGTAATTCTTTATGTTAATTGTATAATGAAAACAATAAGAAATAAAAATCAGAATTTGTTTAATGACCTAAAGACAATAATTGAAATGTTATTCATACAAGATTTCAAAATATTGGTGGATTTCAAAATGTTATAGGAGCTATAGATAGAACTTATTTTATTTTAATTGAGATATTAACACAAGATCCAACAGCATACTTTATAAGAAAAAAAAGATATGCAATTCAATATCAAGGAATTGTTGATTTTAAAGGAATTTTTATTAATTATGTAATAGGATGGCCTGAATCGTTACATGATGTATGAGTTTATAGCAATTCAGATTTTTATCTTAATATATTCAAGATAAAGATATGTGCTAGATAATTCAGCATATCCAATTTCCCTTTTTTGATATCTCCTTTTAAAAATTTTTCTAATCATAGTCAACGTCAGTTTAATTTTATTCATTCAAAGCATAGGGTTGTTGTAAAACATGCATTTGGTAGATTGAAAGCTAGATTTAGAGTTTTAAAAGAAATCTCTATTAAAGATTTAAAAACAGCTATTAATTTAGCTGATTGTGCTATAATATTACATAATTTTCTTGAAATAAGTGGCAAAACTTGGGAAATTATAGAACAGGTTGATTATGATTATAATAATCAATATGATTTTAATAATAAAAGTAATGAGATTTTGAAGTTAGAAGGAGAATTTAAAAGAGAAGAAATGTTAAATCTATTTATTGTATAAATAAATTCTAGAATAATTAGTAAATAAAATTTACATTATTAAACTTAAAATTTAAAATAAATGTATTTTATATATAAAAATGATAAATAAATCAATGCTGAATAACAATAACAAATTGTTCAATCAAATCAAACGATTAAAGAATCATCATTCAGTTCGAATAATAATGAAGAATTGTTCGATATAAATTGAATGATAAAATCATTGTTCAATTTCGAATGATGATGACGAATTATTTGATGCAAATCAAACAATAAAAAAATCATCGTTCAATTCTGAACGAATCATTCAATACAAATTGAATGATAAAAAAATCATTCATTTTGAACAATAATGATGAATTGTTTGATGCAAATCGAACGAAGCTGATATCGCATTTCGTTGATGAAATATTGACTTATATTTTATAAAAACACTTTAAAATTAAAATTATGAATAAAAATATTAATAAAAATTAAAATTCATAAATTAACATTTTATTAAAAAATTTTTAAGCAAAATCAAATAAATGCTTTATTATTCATTATTTTTATGAAATTTTAACATTTTTAACTCCAATTTAACCTTTTCATTTTCAATATGTAACTTTTCTATTTCTAGCTTGCCCTTTTCTAATTCATATTGTTGAATTAATTTTTTTTCTTCTAATTTAAACTTTTTTTAAATTTCACGTTCTTCTAAATCTAGTTTTTTTTTTATAAAACCTATCTCTTGGTTCCTCTATTGCAGCAATTACTCCAGATAAATCTTTAATTCCATTTACTTTTTTTTTTTTTGGATTCATCAGCTTCATAATTTTTTTTGTTATTTATATTTTCATTATCAGAAATAGAATCTGTAATTGAAGAATCTGTAATATAATCTGAATTAACAATTTTGCTTTGTGCTAAAATTTCTTCTATTTGTGAAAATCAAGCCCAATTTACACTTCCTTCACCAGTAGAATTAGCTTTTTTTTTTGCAAGTACATTTCACATAACTTTCCCACCTTATTTCTAATTTGCTCAAAAAATTGACTAGGCAATATATTTGCATTTACTATCTTTTGATAAACTTTTATTTTTTCTCACTTTCATTCTTCTAAATGTTCATTCCAAAATGTAAGTAAACTTTTAATTTCTATATCTGTCTATTTGGTATAATTATCTTTACTTGGATTTTTTTTCTTTTTGGAAGACTTTTTAGATGGTTAAATAGTGTAAAAAAATAAGTATCAGATATACAAATATTTAATTAAAATTTTAGATAAATCTTATCAAAAAAAATTCTTTATTAAATTTTTGTGAATCTTCTTGTATAGTAATAATATTTGTATCCAACTATTTATATAAATGTATTA